TGAAAATTATTGAAATCGGACTAAAATTACGACCGCTTTTCATATAACGGTATATTTCAGAAATGCTTGAAACTGCAATATTTCGAAATTTAAGGACGCTAATTTACTTAAAATTTATACACCCCGGATTATCGTGTAGCGGTAGCTTTCGGAAAGGTGGAAAACATATATTTAATAATTGCGCCGGGTATTTAATGTTCGGCTCCGCCCGAACTTAGGCTTTCTTACTTGTTTAATTAAAAAGTGGTTAATATACATACATATGAGGCTACAAAAAAAATGAATAAATAAATAAAAAATAAATGCGGTATTACTAAAAAGTTTATTGCACCAACGTGATGCCACATATTATACTAAAAGAAAACTAAAAAGTTGTGCCTCGGGTTATTACTGTTTCGATCCTAGTAATGCATTTCAACCCAACTTTTCTTGAAATGTCAGTTGGGCTACTTAAGTAATACAAAATAATTTTCATTAACGTCAAATTCTACCGATTTGTATGCATGATTCAATAATAATTAATTATTGAATCATGATTTGTATGGAGTATAAAAAAAAATTTCCAAAATATTTAGAGAACCCAAGTTTTTTTTGTATTATAAAATGTTAAAAACTGGATTTAACAAATATGCACTCGTGTTTAACGACTCGACTTTCAAGATTTGTGAAGTTGAAGCGAATACCCCTAAAACTTCATTTTATTTTGTACCGTAAAAGGCAGAAATTCTCAGAACCAAATTCACATAAATTTTTAAATTTGTAAGTCCAATTATATTAAAACTTAAATTAAGAAGTGTATTTAAGTTTAGAAGCATTTATAGGGGTAATAAAAAAGCGAGGTTATCACTGAATCGATCGTAGTCCGATGTTCGTAAAATCTACGTATCTAGGAATATGCTATGCACGTAGCTATTCGAATTCGGTATGTAATAACATTTTCGTAGATTCCACAAAAAAAATTTACTACGATGGATTCAGCGATAGCCATGAATATGAGCTTGGTTGCTTTTTCTCTTCACAGCACTGTATATTTATGTGTCAAAATGAGACGAACGAATTTAAAACGTGCCAAAAAAAAATTGCAGAGACAACATGGCAATCGGCGAATGGGGTGAAAAGCAAAAAAGCTGATGATGATGGCGCGCTGCTCCACGTGTTTTTTTTCTTGCATTGTAAGATGACCCCCCCTTAATTTGCATTTTACAAGAAATCGGCTTATGTTCTATGTAAAATATATTTGCAATTGCAATTATCTAGAATGATGAATGAATTTTAATTATTTATGATCAATTATCAAGTGCACGTAACCTAAATGCGTTTGTATGGTCGTGTTTTACTTACCTTCTTGATTACATCGTTATCCGAAGACAGCAAGTTTGTAATAATCTGACTCATTTGCTCCATCGCAATAAATTGTTTTGTATAAGTCTCCAAATCACTTATTACTTTGTGGTTTTACTTCTGATGCACAGATGATACGCTTTTATAAAGCCACTAATTTCTTTCGACGCTCTTGTCTTCCTTTTGGCCAATTAGTTGCTCTGTGCTGCTTCGTTTTTCCACACACCACAGGCGCTCACAACCAAACTTACACACGTGAATATGGTGCAAATTTTTCCACTTGCAGATAATTTGCAAAAAATTATCTCAATTGCACCAGTATTCTTCACAGCACCTCACTAGGCAGTTGATTTTCAATGAATGACTGATTAAAATAGCTGAGAAGAAAATTAACTGAAAGCTTTTTCTTGTATATTGTGCAAAAAAAATAATTCGAATTTGTGTTCCGAACGAATGACTGACTTCGCCCTGCTTTCGTTGTTTGCCGTTGACGATTCGTTGTTGAGAAATTCTCAAAGTAAAACTAGTGAAGGGAACTGTCAAACGAATGCAACTCTTTTTTAAATATTACAATGTGTGCAATATATTGTCGGTATATCCAAGGCGCATCCATACATTGATGTGCCTTGGGTATATCGGATTTGGAGAACGGTTATGATATAGAGCTGATTAAAAGTATGTTTACATATAAATATAAAAGTTGCGTTCCAGCAGCAGTACGAATAGCAAGAATTTACAGGATTTTATAGGAAGCTATTCCCGCTCGAAACCTTACATACGGTTTATTAATGGCGAAAACAGCTGCTCCTGTAAATCCTGTAAAATCCTGCACAACATGCTATTCGTACTGCTGCTGGAACGCAGCTAAAATCAATCAAAGCTCGTTTTTTAATCACATTTACACAGGTAAATCATGAGATTACTAGCTGTCAAATTTGTTGTGCTTGTTATTCTCCCACCTCAGAGAAAGTTAAATTCAACACCGTAATCACTTTTTTCTGCTATATTAACAGCCGGTTAAACAAATGCAGTTTGCCTCCACATCTCAAATTTAAAAAAAACAAAATATTGGGATCGATAGAGATGATTGAGCTGAGTATAACGGTATACTTCTTTTTTTTTAGGAAAACAACAACATCAACAATTATCAAAGGTTAAAGTTCAAATGGAATGGATGAAAATTGATTTTAAAAATTTGATATAATTTAATGGGAAATTTGATTCCCCTTAATTTGCTATACGAACTTTGTATATATGTTGTATAGTTCTTACAAAAATTGAATGAATAAAAATAATTATAAAAAAATACCTTTTGCAGAGAACATCTTTCTGCGTAGGCGGCCTTCGGCTGCACTTAGGGACTATAACCCTCAAAAAGTAGAATTCTCTTTCTGTTACTACGTTAATACGCACGTATTATTTGCAAATAACAATTTGTAAATTGGTAAAATTTGGCGTATAAACGCTGAGTTAATTTTTTATTTTCAAATAACTAAAATCACTCAAATAAGTATTGATTAGTGGTACTATTTGCAAATAAGCGCAAGACGCCGCCATTCTTAGGTTTATATTCTTATTCGATGGTCATCTTATTGCCATTTTTAACTTTATTTTCTTTTTCGATCGTCATATTATTACCTTTTTAAAATCAGGCAACATTAAAAAAGAATTTTTCACCATCGAATAAACAGTGAGTTAGGTATTTGCAAATTATTTTTATTTGCAAATAGCTTACGTATAAACGTAGTATGTGTTGCAAAGAAACGGCACTGGACCCCTTTCTGCGTGGGCGGCGTCGGCCTTAGGCACTTAGGGTTTGTAAACTTTTTTTATAACTATTTTACATTAATTCAATTTTTGTAAGAACTATAAAACCTATATACAAATTAAAGGGAATCAAATTTCCTATTGAATGATATCAAATTTTTCAAAATTCCATTTGTTTTTAAGAAATCTTTATTTCAAAAATAGCTTATTTTGAACTTTAACCTTTGATAATTATTGTTGTTGTTTCCCAAAAAAAGAAGTATACTGTTATACTCAACTCAATCATCTCTATCGATCCCTATATTTTTTTTTATTTGAGATTTGGAGCCAAACTGCATTTATGCCCAGCCGGTTTCACCAGCAATTTAATAGAAAATTATTTTTTATTTTCTGTCAATTTCCATATACAATTAAAAAACTAAAAACATTTTTAAATTTCCTTCGTGAAATTGGCTGTAAACAATTTAATTTAATTGAACTTAATATTTGTTTAAAAATATCTTGAAAAACCTTTTTTCCTTGGTAGCGTCTATTTTTGTTCACTTTCTCATTTGGCATTTCTCCTCTTCTTCGCAAAAATATTCGATAAAACCCATGAACGAAAGACACAGGATCACGCGGGAAGGAAAGAACGAAAAAAGTTATTTTCTAGCTGCCGAAATCTCGACGCCATCTTTGTTGTAAGAAGTAAACAACGAAGAGAACGGAGAAAACCGCGAAATTGTTGAACGCATGAAAAATCATTTTTATTATGCAAATTCTTCTATAAATAATGCCGTTGTGTTAAATTATTCTTTATCTTATGTGTACACACGTTGTCACAAGCGAAAATGAAGAAAATTGCAGTAAAAAGCCACTACCAAATTGTAAACAACGAAGAAATGTAAACAAACGGCTAATGTCAAAATCGTTCAACTTTTTTCCTAAATGCGATTCTAAAGCTGAAATTAGTCAAGAACGTAAACCTACCGGTACGTAAACCCGAGTCAGCTGACACGATCTGTCTTACCAAAGCGCCATGTAAATGAAAACTCAACACCGCAGAATTTTTCTGTAGTTGTAGCCCGTAGCGCAGAAATCTGCGGAATTTAGATTTTTCCGTGTCAGCTGATTTCTCCTTCTTTAGATGGTTGCCACTTCGTCAGTTTTCAGATGGTAAAAAAGTTATAAGTTCCTATTCGAAATATGTTTAAAATATTTGAAATTTACTATTAAATAAGGTTTTTGTTGAAAACTAAGTAATTTATATTTAGTTACAATCTATTATAGCACGAAAAATTGTGGTTGAAAGGGTAAGTTTATGAAAAGGCATTGAAGAGTGGCAACAGTGTAGTAAGCAACACTGAGGGCTCCAGTAATCGACAAAATTCTGCTTACAAGACTGCGAAATTAGTCGAAACGTTCAGCGTTCACTTAACGCAGTCTTATAGCAGAATTTTGTCGATTACTGGAGCCCTCAGTGTTGCTTACTACACTGTTGCCACTCATCAATTGCCTTTTCATAAACTTACCCTTTCAACTACAATTTTTCGTGCTATAATAGATTTTAGCTAAATATAAGCTACTTAGTTTTCAACAAAAACCTTATTCAATAGTAAATTTTAAACATTTTGAATAGGAACATAACTTTTTACCATCTGTAAAACTGACGAAGTGGCAACCATCTAAAGAAGGAGAAATCAGCTGACACGGAAAAATCTAAATTCCGCAGATTTCTGCGCTACGGGCTACAACTACAGAAAAATTCTGCGGTGTTGAGTTTTCATTTACATGGCGCTTTGGTAAGACAGATCGTGTCAGCTGACTCGGGTTTACGTACCGGTAGGTTTACGTTCTTGACTAATTTCAGCTTAACGGGCTACTCTCCTGCCCGCGTGATCTTGTCTTTTTGGTTCATGGATAAAACCAGGGTTAACACCGAAAAGTTATCGCTTTAGTCTGAGATTATTTTATAATTACAGATTAACGTGTGACAAGTTTTGTATGGCTAATCTCTTTTTCTAATTACAGATTAGGGAGTCAAGCTCGAAAAATAGGATAATCTATTTACATATATGTAAGCGTAGTATAACTTAAGCGTTTTTTATTATTTAGTATTAATTAAAAGTTTTGCTACTTATAGAAGGGGTCTTCATCTAAAGTGATAAAGGGATTAATTGCTTAAATTTATTAGTTTATCCGCATACGTACATGAACGCACCTTGGGGAATAATTACATAAAATTGCTTATTATTTAACTTATATGTGTAGTTACGTTTAATTTTACCTTTCAATTTTGTTCATTTGTGTTTTATATGTTCGTAGCAGAAGCGACCAACTAGCAATCTGTCAAAGTGGAATTTTTGTGAAATTCATATATTTATCTACCAAATTCGTTTGATAAAGAGATAAACTTTGCTTAAATAGATTTCCGTACAAAGTTTGGCAGTTCATTTATCAAAATGATAAATTTATCATTTTATCAAGTTTATCAACAGTTTATAACTTTAGATGAAGGCCCCTATTATTTACATTTATCTTTGAATTGTCTCTTTTTAAAATTTAAAACTATCATTTTATAAAAGAGTAAACGATTTAGTAGGAAATCAGAGAAACTATTTTTTGACAAATACCCAGAAGTGCCTTCTGAAAGAGGTTTTTATTTCCGAACGAAGAATTCAATCAGACAAATTTCGAAAAAAACAGCCAAAAAAGTATCCGTTTCACAAACAATTTTAGGTACTTGTCTGTACATACGTTTCTGCCGCACACCTTAGTGGGAAAACAGATCGTCAAAGTATCCGAAAATTGAATCTGTAAGCAGACAAAAATCCGCTCTTCATCCACTTTGCATTTTTTTTCTGATCGACTTTCCGATTTTTTCCTATCTGATTTAATTTTCCGTTCAATACGGTTTAATTCTGCACTTCACAGATACTTTTTCATGCTTCAAAAAAAAAACTAAATAAAATTAAGGGAAGCCCCTGACGCAATTCGAACCCGGCACCTTGTGGAAGCCAGCAAATAGTNGGATTTTTTCCTATCTGATTTAATTTTCCGTTCAATACGGTTTAATTCTGCACTTCGCAGATACTTTTTCATGCTTCAAAAAAAAAACTAAATAAAATTAAGGGAAGCCCCTGACGCAATTCGAACCCGGCACCTTGTGGAAGCCAGCAAATAGTGGCATGCTCCACTGCACGCTCGGCCACTGCGGACAACGCATGCATGCTTTTAAATGTTTGGCTTGAACAAATGATATACAATTATTGCTTTCAAATAACATCATCTTTTTGAACGTTTCGAAAGTTTTCCGAATACGAAAATGAATGACAACTGTAGTCGTTCTCTATTCTTTTCCGAATAAAAAAACCACCGTTGTTTTGTGGACATTCTTGTAGACGTAAATGAATGAAAGTTGTGGTCGCTTCGCATACAGTCTTCAAAAAGCACACTGTGCGCCATCCACAGTATTTTTGCGCAGAATTCTTTCCTGGTTGGCGGCCTAAGGCCGCGATTCAAAAAAATAACGCTCAACTCAGGCTACACTGAACACTGACAACAGCATTTTTTGCCCATAACTCACCTCGAAATTCACAAAAAAGTGCATATGTATGCCATTAATAATTGATTAATATACTGGTGCTGGGAAATATTTGTTTTGAATTAAAGTTAAATCCTTTGTGCGTTAATTTTTTTTCACATTTCATCATTTCACAAATAAGCGAACCGTACCCGGGAAATGAAGCATACCATTTTGTGCACAATTTTTATGTTTTTTCCTAAAATCGATTATTTGAATGCTAAAATATGAATTAGTTTCCTATATTATTGCTTACATTAAAAAATTTAAAAAACTACGTTCAAATAGGCGACACAAATAAACCAAAACATTTGCATTTACTTCACTTGATTCCGATAACAAGAACAATATTTATAGGTAAAACTGCTCGCTCAATTCGTCTACCATCATTTATTTTTTGAAGTTTGTCTACTTTATAAAATTGAAATTTTGAGAGCAACTCAAATGCCAAATAAAAGTAAAACAAAAAACAAATAGATGAAACCATGATAAAAAAATAGCAAGGTAGAACCGGTCTCTCAATTTGTCGGCCATGATTTTTTTTTTGAAGTTTGCCAACATTTTAAAATCATATAAAAGTGAAAATAAAAAATTGAAATTGTACGAAATTGAAAATGAAAATGTTTGTGTGAGTTTGTGAGTAAATTTAAAAATTAAATTGGTTGGAAACGTCAAGAATTTTAAAAGTGACTCAGCGGTTCTACCTTACAATATTTTTATCATGGATGAAACTATTCAAACTTTCTTTTATTTGAGACTGAAAATGAGAATGTATTTGTGAGATTGAAAATTTGAAAACATTTTTGTTATGTTAGCAAACTTCAAAAATGTTCAGGCTGCCTCTCAGCGGGTTTACCTTCAAATTTTTGTATCATGACAAAAACCGACCAACTCGGATTCTGTGAAAATTAGAAAAATTTATTTTCGAACATAAAAATCGATAATATCGAATTGCGCAACACCTAGCCAAAAAGTTGTCGGATTTAAATCGTGCTGATTTTTAGTATTACTAATATATAATGGACTACGTTATGTGAATAGCCGCACGGGGGTAAACAGGTACAGGTAGTCTGTTTAAACTAATCAAATTACCAGTTATTGACCAGTTTTATTGATAAGCGTGGTGTCCATGTAACATTCATGTCTAGACACGAATCTTGGCAGGTGGGAGCCCCGAGTTACGGAGGTCGAAGAAAATTCATCAAACATTTTTGAACTGTTATCGATTGTGTTCGTACTGTACTCGTTCGGTGCATGCAACTCTGTGTTCTTTGACGACGACTCAAATTTCCACCATTTTAATTTTAAACCCGATTTGCGCCAACTTCAGTTTTGTCATTATTTCGAGCATTTACCAAAAGAAAATAAAAAATATTTCTGGGGCGGGCGGAATTGCATTTGTAGTGGCGCAAACAGCCGTCTTCAATTTTATAAAAATCCAGAAATATACGCTTAAATTTCCAATAAATCGGGGGAAGTTTTTGTGAAGGAATTTTTCTTGGTTTGTGCCCAGGACAATATGGATAAACATAACACCGATATTAGTAATTTAGCTGACTCGCTTGGGGTTTTAAATTTAGATAGCTTAAAAGGTAAATCGGTTTCTCCGAGAAAAAGCAAATATTTTAATATTTCTTTACAAATACAGCTTTTGGTGAGACATCTAATTCTTCCTCCACCAGCAGCAAACCAGTCAACGAACGCTTAAATGTAAGTGCATAAATACCCAACAAGCAAAATAAACTTAAAGAAAGTTTTTTTTAAGTTTTCAATTATAAACATTAAGCTTACAAAACGTTGATTTTTTGTTTATAAAACGCTTGAAAGTAAGCGTAATATAATCGAAAAGGAACATTGGTTATAAGCGTAGAAATATAAACTTNCGATTAGCGCAGCGGGTCCTGGATTGGATTTTTTTTTACCGCATTGGTTTTATTTAATTTTTTCCTTTTAATAAAACATTTTAAAAAACGTAAACACGTCACTTACGATTGAAAAAATTTATATTTACTACTTCATGTCGTTGGCATTTGCATTTCATTTATAATTTTAAGTTATTTATAAACATTCGCTCTCAAAACTTATTAAATGTTTATTTGAAAAAACTTGTAATAAGCTTAATATTAAAAATGCTTATTTAACGCTTATTATAGCAAACTTACTTTAAGTTATTTTTAAAAACATTTACTGAAATGCTTGTTGGGTATTTAGAAATAAATATGTATTCCCTTTTTAATATTTTTGAAGTAAATAACGAATGCGTTTAATAGAAGGAACGACTAAGAGCTTTGGAAACCTTGGAAAAAGCCAGCAAATCCGTAAAATCTGATGTAAATAAAATAATACAGCAAAGCTTTGTAAAAAAAGATTATTTAAAAGTACCAGATGAAATAACTACATCATCAAAGTCCTCAAGAAGTAAGATTCTTACTCTTTGAGCTTGGCTTTTTCGCTCATAACAATGTTTTTTCCAGAACTAAATCGTACGGAATATGTGCCTTATTGCCGACCAGATTCCATCAATATTTCCGATTTGGTGACTGATGAAAGTATCAACCTAAACTTTAAGAGCACTATTTCAACAAATAACACAAAAGTTTCATTCGAACCGTCGGAAATAACTGGTCGATCCACACATTATACAGAGCGAAATTCACATAAAAATCCGAAAAACAGTATTGCCACAACATCTAGTCGGCTATCAGTCGGTGACATTCTCGCCACTTCATTTGCGCCCAAAGCTCGAAATCTCGGCGAGGCTTTAGGTGAACGCACTTCAGTATCGAGCACTACATTAGGAAGTTTAAATAATTCGCATGTTTTACTTCGAACGGCTGATTTATCGCTTAATACCACAGATACAACATTTGGTAAAGCTGCCGGCGGTCAGTTTTCATTTAATATGACAAATGAAACCGGAGTCAACTCCGAGGAATTTCAGCCTGCAGAAAAAATGCAGTCGAAGTTGTTGATGGACGAAATGGCTTGGGCACAAGAATTCGCCACCATACCAACAGCTGCATTGAATAAAGAGGAGAAGGAAAAAACAGTCGAGGGAAAGGATTTTGATCTACAATCCAATCCGAACAGGTAAAAAATATTTTACATAGCATTATGTATCTTTACTAGTATAGGTTTTTGATTTCTGTCTTTCCTCCCTATAAAATTTGTTCGCTTTATACAGCTCGATTTTGGCGCGAGACCCCAATTTTTCTATGGGACGCTTTTTCAATCAACGTTCAGAAGATTTACAAAATATAGTGCGGTCATTGAGTCCCGAGCGCATGCGTCCTCCAATAGCATTGGTAGATGAAACACAAAGTACACTTAGCTTGAGCACGCCAATAGGAACTACGAAAGTCATTGCATCCACAAATGACGTAGACTTAACACCCCAAATTGATAATAGGACATATAGTAAAGCTCCAAACGTTGCTTATAATAGCATATTAGAATATGAGAAACAGAAAGGAGATAAACATGAGAGTAAAGATTCCGGCAATGGCACGAAAGAAGAAGAGGAATCGTATTTGCTCTCGCTGTCGCATATCAAAAAGGCCTTTAGTAAGTACTTAATAATTTCTACATTAATAATTTCCCCGTTTGAAACAACAACAATCGCTTCAAACTGTTTTAATTGAAATTATAAGTAGTATATATTATAGCTTTTAACACTTTTTTAGCTTTTATAAGTAAAAATATACCTAATAAATTTTTTTCAGCTAAAAACATTGATGGAGATATTTCATCAACACATCTTATCGATTTGTTGAAAAAACCAAAACGTAATAAGTCACCTCAAAACCGCGAAAGAAACGAATTACGGCAAAGCAGTGTTGCTCAGCAATTTCAATTTAATAAGGCCCCACAATTGGCTGTCGCAGCCCATACATCAGCCAGTGTAAGACAATCCGTTGAACGATACACAAATAGCCTAAATACGCTCGAGGAATTGTTATCAGAAAATAAAGAAAATTGGGATCCACAAAAAATGCGAGGATCTGAATCACAAGCTGACACAATAAGTTTTAGCGAATCATTGCTGGATGCCAGTGATTTAAAAGAGTTGCAGCGCAGCATAGGTCAACCACGATCCCCGCTAAGCCCTTTAAATATACCAACTCTACGACTTTCACCTAATGAAAACGAGAATACCTGTGAAGAAAAGTCGTATCGACAATATCATGAAACACCCGAAAAGATAAATGGTAACTTCAAATCGTCATTTTCTAAGTCGACCACACCNAAAGAAAAGATAAATGGTAACTTCAAATCGTCATTTTCTAAGTCGACCACACCCAAATCTTCCCCTTCAACATACGCACAAACTTGCGGCATTAATCACAAAACCATAACCCTTACGAAAAAGGAAGGTTCCCCATCATCGTTGAGTCCCTATCTGCAGTTGCAGAAACCACTTTGTTCTACAAGGGTCGATGAGCAAAAAAGTGATTGTGATGTTGTAGCTGTTTCACCGAATCTTTCCAAGTCGCTGGCATCGCCCAAGAATAATGCTGCTGAGCGCACCCTAATGGCTACTGGTAGCCCCTATAGCGGCCCTCCAACTCCATCTCCACCCCGCGGTTTTTTATCTTCACCATCATCGCCCGTTGCAACTGGCATGGGTATCGAAAATTCACGTCGGGGTTGTGAGAACTGTTCGCCACAGGCGCGAGGAAAGCCACAATCCAGCAGTAATGTTAAGGTGCAACGCGCGGCATCGTCACCGTCGACTAGCGAAGCCAGTGCCAAAAATATTGCACCAATGCGCACAAATAGCGCATATACTCTTAGAAATGGCGGCGTTGTGCGCAGCGTCTCGCGTTGCTCCAGCAGCAGTGAATTCAGTCATCGTGACGGAAACGCAATACCGTTAAAGGTTACCGCCGTTGAATTGTCTTGGGGTAGCACACGTTTGAGAAATGCTGCACACCGGACAATGCAAGTGAAAAATATTGCGAGCAAAAGACTTACCTTGCGTATAGATGTGCACGGTCCCGGTTATCAACTGTTGAATTTGCCTGGCAATAATACGTTGACTTTGCAGTCTCAGGAATGTCGCACAATTGCGGTAAGCTTTTGTCCTACAGTTATTGGTGCTGCCGTGGGCAAGCTTGCATTTTACGCACCGCAAAATGTTAATGTTGCCCACAACAGTGCCTCCACTGCCAACATGTCATCGTTTTTGGATATCCCTCTATATGGTTATGGTGGCCATTGCAGCATTGTGGCGCGGGAAGTGCACATAGCGCCAGTTGGTATGGCTTTCCTGCAAATGGGCTACTTACACGAACTCTCACAACCCATACAGCGCACTATACGTGTTTACAATAAAGGTCCGCTGCTGGGCTTCGCGCTCGCTTCAATCGATTCGGTTGGACTACGTTTGCCGCGATTATGCACTGCTTTTGAAATACAGCCAGCAGCCATGCTTATACCGCCTGGTTCAACAGCGACTTTGCGTGTAGTTTTCCGGCCACAGCGTGAAGATGTACGAAAAATTACAAGACAAACAAAATCCGTACTCACACTAGCCAATTTGCGTTTAATATCTGGTGATGAAGCAAATAGGCAGCGCATGCGCCAACTGGTGGCGCGCATGTCGCCGGAGGAGCGCGTCAATCTAAGTTCATCTAAATCTTTGGAAGCGTTGTGGGAAAAGCTGCCTGGTGAGAAGGAAATTAAAGAGCTGCAGACGTTCAAGGAAACACCAAAATTGACGTACGATTTGCTAACCCACATGCGTATACACGAAGTTGCACTTACCATTAACGATGACTACTTGGACGAGACTATCAAGTCGACATCTTCGTTTTATTTTCCCGATGAGGATGAGACAGTATTGTTCCGCACAGTATGCAGTCCATCGCCCAGTAATGCTGATGGTTCGGGCCACGTTTTGGATCGTGTGGATGAATTAATAGAGGAGGATGTTGAGCAAGCCAACAGTAACAATTCGTCGACACGCGGCGAAGCTTGTTGCTGGTCTGTTTTGCCCAGCTCATTATGTTTTTATATGCGCGGTGAAGAACGCCCATTGCGTTCATCGATTTTCATTTGCAACTCATTTAAGTCGCGACAATACTTTGAAGTGAGCACGAACCGTAAAAACTTGTTGCAGTTGACGCCCTCAGAGGGTTATGTGGAACCCGATGGTGGCCATTTAGAGGTGGAGGTGAGTTTGCTATGCGACAAATTGAATGCGGAAAATAAGCAGGAACCGTTCAACATTTCGGTATGTTAAATGGCTTTAACTATCACAGCTGAGCTAAGATTTTTTTTTTTAATTTGATTCTTTTTTTAGGTTTCTATGGAAAATGAACGTATAATTGTGCCAGTGGAATTGTGCGATGAGGTGCGTCCAGCGGAGAGTGTATAATGTGACAAAAATATCTGCTTTGTAATTAATTTTAAACAATTTGCTGCAGTATAGTTTTTGTATTACTTACTTGTATCTGTCTCCTCCTCTGTTCGTTTAAAACAATGTTTACTTTTTTATGCAAAATAATATGTATTTATTTATATTTTATATGTTTAACTCTTTAAAAGCTATGCATGCACGGTTTTTACATTTTGTTTCACAATTCCTGCTGATATTTATTAATAAATTTACCAACTATTAAAGAAAACTAAATCTCTTATTTCTTCAAGTCTAATAGCCTTATCCATGAAAATTAAAATGGATTACAATCGCTTTATGAAATGTAGGGTATGTTCTTAAATGTTAAAATACAAGGCATCTCTCTTTTTTTTTTATTTTTTAACTCAGTAGATTTCTTTAAAAAGATGTCAGCTTTCTAATAGGTTGCGCAAGTTGGAACTTTTCTTCGGGTGGGGTTAGAAATAAAAGGTATAAAAGGTAGAATTTCGAACCTACTTTTATAATTATGGGACTTGTTAGATAAATTACATTTATAAGATTACTTTTATATTCATAGTCACATTATTAATATTAAGTGAAACTGATGCGCTAAATAATTCAAAATATTAATAGGAACGTAATATGTGGTTCACACTTGATATGAATATAAAAGTAATCTTGTAAATGTAATATATCTAACACGCCTCCTTACTTTTGTATTCAATATTCAATATTCATATTATTTTATTTTATTTTTTGAGTTATTTAGCACATCAGTTTTATTTAATATTATTATTAAGTGTCATCTCTATATTGTAATTTCTGAATTCTTCCCTTTTTATATTTTATCGTTGCCGAGTATGCTGTATATTCACACAGTATTAATATTAAATAAAACTCATGTGCTAAGTAAATAACTCAAACAAGGAGTTTAAAATAGTATTTATATATTTTCATATGGTAGCAGAGCAAGCTTTGCTAACCAAAAGCCATTGACATTGCCTATTATTTTGTATACGAACTAAAAGAAATAAAGTTTGCAAGTGGTGGCTCATGAGGGGATCGAACCCGGTAGCAGAGTGGAAATAAAATTTGCACGTAGCAGGGAGGAAATAAAGTTTGCACGTAGCAGCAGAGTGGTGGTGAGCAAGTGCTACACGAGGTCAGAAATTGCAAGTTAAAAATGCATTCACTAGTAAAATGGGATGAGGTTATGATACCTATTTTCGATGGCGCTGACTATACGCATTGAAAAAACGCATCCTAAAATTCTTGGAGTTCAAAAAGTGTAACGAGGTAGTGAGTGCTGCGTGAACAAATGAGTACAGACAAACCCGAAGATTGGTCATTTATGGAAATTAAGGCGCATAACATTATATACAGCGTAATTTCCCATGCTCAGTTTGAATTCATTGGTGATTTAGATACACCACGCGAAATAATGTTAAAATTTGACCAAATGTACGAAAATAAATCGACAGCTCTTCAAATACTGTATCGAAATCAAATCGAAAGCACGAAATTGCAAAAGTATCAAAGTGCTGAGAATTTCTTCAACGCTTTTGAAAGGGGGTTCAATGGTCTCAAAGTTGCGAGAGCCACAATTAAAGAGGAAGAAAAATTAAATTACATGTTGAAAGCGTTACCGGCATCCTATAGTCATATAGGAGATTTGATGGATGTGCTGCCACAAAAAGAAAAAAACGTGTGAATGGTTAAAGCAGAAGATTAAACTGGATGCTGCGAATATAAGCGTAAGCACAAGCAGCGATGGGTCATTGGCGAGGTCCAACATGTTCGCAGCATCAACATTAAACAAAGGAAACATTAACACAACTAACTACAAATGTTTTAGATGTGGAGAAATGGGCCACACGCAAAGGTCCTGCAACTTCAGCAGTCAAGGAGAGCTACAGAATAATCAACAACGGGGACGCGGCAGAGGTGGATATCGTGGTAACAATCAGGGGCGACGAGGATCAAAACAGGGAGGAGTACCACCATAGCGAGCACAGCAAAAGAAAATAAAAAAGAAATAAAAAAATTAGATGTGATAACGGTACTGACTACATAAATAAAAAAAACTATTAATTTTGTTCATGAAAAGGGTATAGAATTAGATCCGTATCCCGCATACGTACATGAATTAAATGGTACAGCTGAGAGATTGAATGCAACGATTATGGATATGTCCAGATGTTTATTAGCAGAAGCTGAAATTGATAGGAAATATTGGCCAGAAGCTATAAAGACGTCAGCATATTTGAAGAATAGAATTTTAGCCAACACCATTGAGAGAAAAACACTTTATGAGATTTTTTTTTAATAGAAAGCCTGATGCCAAATACCTTAAGATTTTTGGAAGCAAAGTCTGTGTTCGAATACCAAATCAAATAAGAGGCTCAAAATGGAATGAGAAAGGGAAATTTGGAATACTTGTTGGCTATACAGATGTAGGATATTGAGTAGTTTTATACGATAGGATATAGACTTTCAGGAGTAATAGAGAGAGATACAAAGAAAATAGTCCGCGATGAACCAGTCGAAACATACGATGAAGAACCAGATGAGATGGCTAATATTGGAAAACAAGATCAATATCCATATGAATCGGATGAATTTTGTGAATGCGAAGACCTGAACAGGACCGTTGAGGAACGTGAACCAAGTAGTCCTAACAATACGAACAGTCCAGCATTGAGAAGATCTGAAAGAAACAAGAAGACGACTAGAGATGGACAGTTCGTCTTACAAACGATCAATGTCAATTATGCTAATGTCTTGGTCTCGGAAACGTATGATGAAGCAGTTATGTCCCCTGAAGCTCAACTATGGAAAAAGGTAATGGATTTTGAAGACGAAAGTCTCCTGAGGAACGAAACTTGGAAACTAGTAAAAAGACAACAAAACGAAACCATTATCGACCTGAAATGCATTTACAAAATAAAGCCAGATGGAAGGCAAAAGCACGCCTAGTTGCAAGAGGGTTTCAACAGCGCGAAGAAATTGAACTCGCGTACTTACCTGTTTTTAAAACTCAAACGCTGAAAATATCGCTAGCATATTGTTGTCAGAAAGGATTTATTATCTATCAAATGGATGTGAATACAGCATTCCCCAATGGTGTAATAAAAGGTGAAGTATATGTTGAACAACCAGAAGGCTATTCAGATCGTTCCGGTAGGGTGTGTGGGCTGAATAGAGCTTATAAGATAAAGACTAAGGGATAAAACCACTTGATCATATGAAGCGTCATATATAATACGTTCTCAAATAAAAATTTACCAAGTCTTTATTGTAAATCCCTTTATTTCTTTAGGCAAATTGTTTGGTTGTAATCGCTTTGAGATGACAGACGATAAATCCAGATTAAAAATATAGTAATTACAATTAGAGGCAAATCATATATCATAAATAACCACACCTACACTTAGTACAGAAAGAAACTCGGTGTAGGTTTATGAAGATCCATTACTGTGTAACTATTTCAACATTCGTTTCTTTAACTCTTTTATTATTTTTGAGAGTAGGCTTTGACATCTTTAATTTGCTATCAAAGAAAATTTTTTGTCGTCAATAATCTTCATTCATCAATCTATTTTAATTTGTTATAAACGAAAATATTCAAACAAAATTTCTTTACTTTATTCTAGATACTATAATTAGAAAAGAAATTATAAATTCATGACCGCGAGGTAACCCTGATCCCCTTCCACTATCTGTTAGCGTAACGTTTGTGGGTTTGGTTTTAGTTTGTGCTAGAATTTTATTATATTCAACTGCAGTGCAACGCGGATGTGTTTATATATAAAAAGTTCGAAGTGTGATCATTTTAGCAATGCAAAATAATACTAATACTGATTCTGCGGACAAAAATACATAACTTTTGTCATAAACGTTTCAGTTTCGACCGGAAACTAGAGCATCCCCGACTCAGTAGTTCATATTTTTACGTTTTCCAATAAAAACATTTTTCTCTATTTTAGAACAGCTGAACGGGTGGTCTGGACACCCGGTATATGGGCGGTGGGTGTGGTTGTGGACCGATTTCGCTGATTTTCAAACCAACGTCTTTTAAGATTCTAAGAAGCGTGCATGCGCCTATCTGCATTGGTTTATTATTGGCCTCAGAAAGTGCTTATTTCAGCCATAGTGCAGCCTGACAGTGAGTGGTAATGGACATCGCGTATTATCTGAACAAAGCTTAAGCATATTAATTAAAGAAATTTCAGCCATCTTACAAACACTCAGAGGTACTGTCGCTCAAACAATCAAGGAGAACAAGAACAGAGCTATCCGAGTTGTAAACATAGTATAAGTGCGTAATATAATAAGTGTAGTGTAAACGTAGTATGAGCATTTTGCCAGAACGCAAACGTTCGCGTATATATTTTTTTGATAAAATACATATATGTATTTCGATACCATTGAAATCTGCGCATTACAGATCGAGTTTAAAGCTTCTGCTTCCACCAATGCGGCTACCGACTTAAAAAAAAAGCGGCTCGAGATTCATCCTCGTTATGATTTCCACTCGAGACGTATAGAAATGATCCAGAAAAAATTCACGCGATTTGCGCTAAATTGAATTAATTGGGCTCGTGGTCCATGTAATGGTAACCATCCTCGTGCCTTAACTGCCGTCCTTACTGGCGCCACTAATAGTGCCTCTACTGGTTCCTCCTTTGGCGTCCCTACCGGCGCCTCCAACACCCTTACTGGTGCTCTTAATGGGGTTCCTACTAGCGTAACTAATGGTACCCGTACTGGGATCCCATCTTACGAATCAAGACGGAAACTACTTGGCTTACAAGCACTGGTGGACAGGAGGTCATATTTATCCATTATGTTTGCTTACAACACTTTATCCGGAAGAATTCGCTGCCAAGAAATCCGCAATCTCTTTATTGCGAACGAGCCATCTTTACAACTTTGGAGCTGCAAGCTTTTTGTAGAAGCTACATACAAGACCTTATATGCATATAACGAACCAATAGCTAGAATTATTCGCTTATGTAATTCTCATGCATCATCCATAAATTTTAATACTGGGATATATAATATTAAATTGGATCTGTTCAAAATTTTCAATTAATGTATCGTCACACACACAATGAAAACTAAATTAAAGTTAAGTCTTAGTTTGTAAGAATATGTACTCTGTAGACTAACTGAATTGAAATAAAGATTAAAGAAACGACTCCGGCAGCGGTGAAGCAGAAGGCTAAGCAAAAGTTTTATTACAATTGCTCGCAGATGGGTCATATTTAAAATGCTCAAGGGATTTAACCCCTAAGTACAGAGGAGTTGGCGGTGGTGTTTTGGAATATGGTATTCGAAGCCACCATCCTACATTTAAAGTAATATAAAAAGTAAAATAATAAAATGAATAAAGGCGCCATAAATACCGAAAAGTTTTCGTTGATACAATACACGCGGATTATGCCCACGCGCACAAGAAAAAAAATGCGCAAAATCATAGTGCAAATAGTAGCAGACGGCGCGTATATTGACAACGAACCAAATGGTAACGGCAACGACGCCATAGTAAATAACGGCGCGAACAATGGAAGCTGTGATCAGCTGTAGCAGCTACAACAACACACAGCACGGTACCTTAGGTACCTCTTGATACGTTGAAAGAGCTGATAACTGACTACGACGGCGGCGAAGGCTTTGACTTATGGCGATCCCAACTTCTACATTTCCAGTCAGCGTTAAAAGTGAGCGATGAGGCGTTAAGTGTCGTCCTGCTGTTAAAACTATAAGGGCGAAAACAAAATAAAATGCTACACCCGCATTACGTACAATCGCTGTTATATCGCAAACCAAATTGTAATCATTTCAAAACGTCATCATTTGCTTGTACATACATCTCAACATGGACCTTCGAGCCAGATTCGACAGCAAAGGAACGCAGCTAATTAGCATAACCGAAGTTGGCAACGCGGAAATCAAAAAAGGAGTTTCGAACACGGAAAACCTCTACTGGCAATACTGTGATCGACAGCCATCTCTCATTTTTGTTCATAATTTGAATAGCATCAGCAACAGCAGCTTCGTAAGATTTTTGTCCCGCGAAACTAAATCAGAAAATCGTTCGTAAATTGCTAAACGCGTTTAAAACCGCAAAATCACAGTTAGTGCATCTATTTAAAATAAATAAAATCGACCACACATAGCTGCCCACCGAGGGTCTTTCGCAACCAACGTTTTCATCCACCACCAACAATGCGTATAAAGGGACCCTGAAGGAGCCCCAATTTTTAAGCTATGTGGGACAGAAATCATCAAAAAAGACTCCCGAATTTATCATCGTGGCGACCGGCCAGCGTGTGACATCCTAACCAAAATTTAAAGACATGAGTAAAAATGCGGAGCGCATATCGTTTTGGAATCGACGAGATCCCTACGTCCATCAGTGCGTGCTCTGCTATCGCGCTGCGCTTTTGTAAACTTTTTCTAACCATGGACGTGACCAGCGTATTCGTATTCGGGTTGCACGCAGTTTTAAATACTATATCAACTGCCCGGCCCGTACCCATGCAAGAAATTCCATCACACTCTTCTTTATCGCACCAACCCAGTCGAGAAGAGGGAAGCACAGAAGCGCGAAAACAAACCCACGCCATCGACTGGTGCAAACTCCGCAGAAGCCGAAACAAAACATACGCAAGCAGCAGGGGCAGGACAGTCGGAAGCCGCGAAGCGCTGAGGCACGTACGCAGGTGGATGTAGCAATGCAGGCGATGGAGTCACTTCGCGTTAGTCTTGCACTCGTGCAAAGGGGCGCAATGTTTAAGAGATTTACACCCACTTA